TTGCGCTGTCCTGCTCCATCCTGCCCAAGACATGAATCATGCCTTTGCCCACTGTGGCTGCATTCTATATACTACCCACCATTAGTCATTTAGCAGCCTTCTCAGTTAGCAGATCCACTGTCTTGGTATGGCAGTGCTTGTGTTCAATTAACCCTTATTTTGCTTCAGAATGGCCACAAAGCACAAGAGTAATGGTGCTGGTAATTTTATTACAGTATATTGTCACAGTATATTGTATTGTATACAATATATTTGTTACAGCATATTGTTAAAATGATTCTGTTTTGTGATTAACAAAACAAACAGGGATGTTTTGCAAAAATTAATAAATACTGAGTTCATTGAACGTACGGTTTTCTTATTCAGAGGGGAAAAAATCTTTTAGTCTACTGACAGTGAGTATCTAGAAATGCAATTTAATCAATGCCCAAGATAAATAATTTTCTAGGCTGGGTGCAGTGGCTCACGCCTGTAATCCCAGCACTTTGAGATCACCTGAGGTCAGGGGTTCCGACCAGTCTGGCCAACATGGTGAAACCCTGTATCTACTAAAAATACAAAAATAATTAGCTGGGCATAGTGGTGCTTGCCTGTAGTCCATGCTACTCAGGAGGCTGAGGCAGGACAAATGCTTTAGTCCAGGAGGTGGAGGTTGCAGTCAGCCAAGATCATGCCACTGAACTCCAGCCTGGGCAACAAAGCGATAAATAACTTTCTGTTGCTTAAGTCTGATTTACGACTTCATCATTGTACCTTACTCAGACTATCATTTTCTGTTCCATTGTATATAACTTATACAAATCATATAACTTTTATATGATTTTTGTTACTTAACTCACTGACTTCCAAGGAGAAAATGAAAGCTAATTATCTAATATCTGTCTCAGTCTAGGAGGCTTTCTCCCCAAAAGTCATAAAGAGGAACCCATTAAGCAAAGACACTAATTAGGAAAAAAAGTGAAAATTTTATAATGGAAATAGGAAGTATAACTCTCCAAATATAAGCTAAACTTTTCCATTCTCAACTAATTATATCCTAGGAGAAAACAGCTGTACTGTCCCAAATAACAAAACAAAAAAATTACAGTAAGATATTTAAACACTTTTAAAACCTCAATAGCAAATGCCTGAAGCCAAATTCTTACATCCAATGCCAATAGTCAGTTCAATAACCCCTCTGAAATTATAAAGTTCCAGCTAAAGTATACAAACTTATTTGTGGCTTATGAAAAGCATACATAGATATATATAAAACTTAAACTTGTTCCTCATGAAATTCCTGAGAGTTAAGAACAAGTATGTTTACATTCAACATAAGAAAACTACAGCTAAGATAGTTGAAAAGGTTTGCCAAAATCTATCCAACTCACTCATGATAGAACTCCTATTACATAAATACAAGACTTCTAATTCCATGACTTCTGCTTTTTCTTCTATACTGCATAGTAACATTGCCTAAAGGTTTTATTTACATTTAAAAAACGTAAGTAAAGATGTATTTTTTCAGTTTTCTTTTACTGTGATAAAATATCCATAACATAAAACTTGCCATGTTAAGCATTTTTAAGTGTATAATTCAGTGACATTAAGTATGTCTACAATTTTGTGCATCCATCAACACTATCCATTTGTAGGACATCTTTGATTAGATACATTTTTTACAATCTATGTTATTTTAAGAAAAGTGGCAATTCTCTAGTAGTCATTTATTCCCACTTGTGGAATTAATTTTATAGGAATTTTAAAGATGAACTAATCCAATAAAGTTAGGATAATCTGGAAAAGCTATATATGTAATCAAGCTAAATCTATTTTAGTTTCTAATGTTGATTACAAATTAAGCTCTTTTAATCGAACTCTACTTGATCAACTTACTGGACTGATTAGTAAAGACTCTACTTCTGTAGAACATTCTGATTAATGTTCACATGTTATGTATGCTGACTCTGGCAGAGTACTCTAGAATGAAGCCAAATTTTTGTTTCCATCAGTTAAGTTTTAGCTTTACCAAGCATCAGGTGTGTTTATTCCCAAACCATTTATGCTAACTGTATCTTTTATTATGAGATGTAATTAAATATTACATAAACCAGTGAATTTATGAGTACAAAAAAGTTTTTGTCTTTATGAAGTTAATTTGAATGTTCTGAAAGAATTCAATAAAACATTGCTAAAAATATCTGTTGTCAAATTAAGCCTGGAGCTAGGTGCCATGGCATGCCCCTAATCCCAGCTACATGGGAAGCCGAGGTGGGAGGATTGCTTGAGCCTAGGAGTTCGAGACCATTCTGGGCAACATAGTGAGATCCTATCTAAAAAAAAAAAAAAAAAAAAAATTAGACCTGGGTAGGAAAACAGTTAGATATTAGGAGGAAAAAGAAAAAAACATAAAAATCTGCAGTTAGGCACATAGGCTGCTTTGCAAGTAAGGTAAGAAGAGAATTTTAGATATGAGAGGTCAGGGATATCCTCTGGTGAAATCATTTTAGTAGAGTCTTGGATGAACTGTGGGAGCAACTAATTCAGGTATCTGAAAGCAGTACAGTCTGGGAGGAAGACAGTAAATGCAAATATTCTGAAGTAAGGGTGTGCTTTTAACATTTCAGGGAGAGAGTAAGAAGTCATAGCTAGAGCACAGTGAAAAAACAGAAAGAATTAGGAGATAAGATTAGAGAAGCAGCCACAGTCCAGTCACAAAGGACTCTAAGGGCCATACTAAGGACTACAGCTTTAACTTTGGGATGGTTTTGGGCAGAGGAGTAAATGTTTTAAGATCTTTCTATCTGGTGTGTAAAGAAAAGACTACATAGAGGAAAAAAAGGAAGCTGGAAGTCCAATAAGGGGCTGCTAAGAGTCTACTTAGGTGAACTATGATGAGGGCTTAGACAAACGTAGTTGTATGGAGATAGTGATGATTGGTAAGATTTTGGACATTTTTTACAAAGTAAAACTAAGAGGAATTACCAATGGAAAAAAAAAATAACAATAATAAACCAGTAAAGATGGGACTTACATGAGATTCAAAGTATCAAAGAGCAGAAAAGGACAAACCTGTAACATTAATAACCTAAATTACAGTAAAACTAAAAGCAGTCCTCAAAATTTCTTTTTTCTCTTTCTTTCTCTTTTTCTTTCTTTTTTTCTTTCTTTCTCTCTCTCTCTCTCTCTCTTTCTTTCTCTCTCTCTCTCTCTTTTCACAGTGTCTTGCTGTGTCACATAGGCTGGAGTGCAGTGTGCAATCACAGTTCACTGCAACCTTGACTTCCAGGGATCAATCAATTAACCCACTTCGATTTCCAAGAAGCTAGGACTACAAGTGTGCAACACCATGCTTGGCTAATCTTGTTTTTTTTGTTTGTTTGTTTGTTTTGTTTTGTTTTTCAGTAGAGTTGCTTTGTTTTGTTTTAGTCACTCTGTTACCCAGGCTGGTCTTGAACTCCTGGGCTCCAGTGTTCCTCCTGCCTTCGTTTCCCAAAGTGTTGGGATTACAAGTGTGAGCCACCACGCCACCCAGCCCATCACCCCAGATTTTTAAAAAAGGCTTTATAAAGAGTGTCATAACTTCTGACAAATAGTGTGCAGTCATGATTTACTTTCAAATTTGAAAGTTTAATTAACAAAGATTATATAGAATCTCCCTAAGGGAACGTTTATATTAAAACTATAAAAATACATTTTATAAATAATCATTTTTCTATATAAATACATTGAAAATATCATAAATTTCTCTCTAAAATTCCAGTTGAAAAACAGCTAATAATGAAGCAATATAACAGAAAAATCTTAAGGTTCCATTGGGTTTTTCCAAGTTCAGAGCTCTCATTTTAATTTAGTTTTTCTTAACTAACTTCGGTTTATGTTTCTATAAAAGAAAACCTAAACTTACCTACCATTTTATCTCTGTAGACATGAGATAAATCTAACACAACACGTTCTAAGAGAAACGTTTATGACTTATTTTTTCCCTTCACTGGGGATACTGTATATCTTTCATATAACCAAATTTCCTTTCCATATAAACCAATTCACTTGTTTCTAAAATCTAATTAGAAAATTCTTTCTACTCTTTTTTTTTTTAATCCAAAAACACACTCTGTTAAACCAATGGGAGTTTCTAATCTCATGCGTTTGCCAAGACTTCAATATTACCCAAACTTCAGAATAAAACATACTTTACAAGTAAGTTAATAGTAACGATATGACTTCAAAAGCCAAATTGATAAGGTATATTTTATATATGCAGACCATGAACAGTATACATGAGAGAAATCTAGAGAAAGTATGAGACCTATTTAATCTAGAGACATATTAAAACAATAAGCTTTAAAAATAATTATATACCAAAAACAAAGAAAATGTTAATAAATTTTAAACATAAGGAAATTAAGACAACACATTCTATAAGTACAATATAATAAATTTAAAGCTCAACAATAAACAAATTTAAAAACTCTTGCCTACTGAAAAAGAACCACCTCCAGTCCCCCGATTTTTTAAATATAATTAAAACATAAATATTAAAAGGAAATAAAGAAGAAAAAGTCTTATTAAATAAATAACTTTTGGGTCCAAAAGAAAATAAAAACTCTAAAAATATTCAGAAAATAATGACAATGAGAACACTCAGGAAGTTTCTAAGAACTAAAGAAAAACATGTTTGGAATCAGACAGCACTAAGTCTAAATTCCATTTCTGGTACTTATATATTGTATCACCTTGGGGAAAATATACTACCTTGTTTCTTCAAATCCAGAACGGGGAAGAAGAAATCAAGGCTGTTATGTGGATTAAATAATGGGTGAAAGTCACCGAATAAAAGGGAATAATTCTTAACAAATATCAATAATTCTCTCTCCAATTCCCCAAAACTTTGTCTATGAATGCAACCAAAGTTATACTTACAGGCAAATTAATAACCTTAAAAGCTTTTATCTTTCAAAAATAAATATACAAACATGAATTAATTTTTAGAAAAATACTAAACAGATTTTCATTAATACTGAGTTACTTTAATTTGCATAATGTTCCTGACAAATCAAGGTAGGTAGGCATAGTTCTAAACAAACACAAAGACTAAAAATAACACATAAAAGGTATCTGGGCATACATATATACACATACACATGCATATTTATTAATAACTTTTTGCTATACACATATAGTTTTTCACTTAAAGACCCTAAATGAATTTGTAATTAATTTCTTATTTAACAACAGACGTGCTTACTTTTATCCCTAATATTATTACAATTTAGTTCCTATAAATTTATTTTTTTCCAATGTGTTGAAGTTTAACCCCTTTTTTAAACATTTGGAATGGAGAGGGAATATATAAATAGAACTACTTGAGTGAAATACCTATAAATATTTATTTCTGGAATGAGGCTTTCACTGAGTTCAAGTATATTAACCAAACTATCAGCAAATAAAAACACTCCTCAAGTTTCCAAAGCATTCTGCTTTGGAAAAAACAGAGACCTTTGACAGGAGGGGCACTAAATTCGTGTTTCAAAGTACTCCCTCAGGCTAACCTACCTAAAATAGATACCTTATAAAAAGATAAACATCAAACAGACTCAAAAACAAGATAAGTAACTTTGTAGACCCAAGAGGGAACAAAAATACAAAACAACATGTAGGGCTGCATCCAGGGGCACACAGGAATCCTGATGTGCAGGCAGATAGGACAGGCTGTAAGCCCGGCTCCTGTCAAGTAAAGGCAGGATGACCATGCGATTTATTGTATATACTGGAATATTTCTGAGACCTATATCTAGAGAAAAAGCAGTTAACAGAAATCAATCCTTATATGACCTATGCAAATAAGAATTTTAAAGTAGTTATTACAAATATGTTCAGGACTTTCAGGAAACATGGTCACAATGCACGAACGTATGGAAATCTAAGATGAGGAACTGATACTATAAAACTTCAAAAAAAAAAAAAAGAACCAAAAGGAGGATCTGAAATGAAAAATCAGGTAGGCTTAACAGCAGAACGTGGATATGGCAGGAAAAACAACAACAACAACAAGAAAAAACAGGGAAGTAGAAGACACATTAACAGAAATTATCCAGTCTAAATAACAGTAAGGAAAAAAAAGATGAAAAAGACAGGAAGAGTGTTAGTGATTTGTAAGACAATAAAAAGTAGTCTAAAATATGTATATTTAGTCTCAGAATGCAGGAGAGAAAACAGAGCCCCCCCAAAAGTGAAATAATAGTGGCAAACATTTCCCAAATGTGGTGGAAAAACAGGAACTTACAGACCCACAAAGCTCAGTATACCCTAAGCAGAATAAATACAAACAAAAGGCAACCTTAGCACATCAAAGAAAAAAAAAATTGCTGAAATCCAAAGATAAGGAGAAAATCTTTAAAACAGTCTGAGAAAAAAATAATACATTTTACACTAGTAACAAAGTGTGCATGAAGGATTAGTTCCAGGACCACCATCTGCTCCCCGAAAATCCATGCATATGAAAGTCTCACAGTAGCCCTGCAGAAACCAGCTATACGAAAAGTAGACCCTCATTATACTGTGTTTTGCAACCTGAGAATACTGTTATTTTCAATCCACATTTTGTTGAAAGAAATCCATGTATAAGTGGACCTGTACAGTTAAAACCCATGTTGTTCAGGGGTCAACTGTATATGAGGTAACAATACAAATGGCTATTCACTGTTCATTAGAAGCAATGGGGGCCGAAAGAAAATCGAACATCAATATAAAGCTTAAAAAAACCCTATAACTTTAAATTCAACATCAAGCAAAATTGTATTTCTAAAACAAAGGCAAAAAAAGATTATTTTAGATAAATAAAAATGGAGAAAATTTGCCACCAGCAGGACTGCACTACAAGAATATGTGAAAGTCCTTGAACTGAAAGAGAATGACACCAGGTGGAAACTGAGATCTACAGATCTTCAGGAAGAAACAAAATACATGGGTATGAAAATGGCAAATATGTGGGCAAATGTGAAAGACATATATGTACAGGAAATGTCTTTAAAAAACATTTTGTTATTTAAGACAATCTGTAACAAAGTATAAAGAATGAACACATGTTCTGACAGCAACTGGATACACTGCTGGTAGAAATACAAATGGTAGAGCCACTCTGGTAAACAATTTGACAGTTTCTTACAATGTTAAACATATAATTACCATCTTACTCAGCAAAATTATTCCTGAGTATTTCCCCACCGGAAATGAAAACATGTTCACATGAAGACTTGTACCTCTCTGCTCATAGCAACTTTATTCATATTAGCCCGAAACTGGAAACCCGAATTTCCAACAACATGTGAATGGATAAACTGTGGTATATCTAAAAAATGGAAGACAGTTCAATAATAAATTAGGAAGAACCACCCTAATACATGCAACAATATGCATGAATCTCCAAAGCATTAGTTAAGAGAAAGAAGTCATATACCCAGCCATGTGAATGATCACTGATGCCAGAGTCCATTGATAGGTAATTCTAGAAAAGGCAAAATATTGTGACAGAAAGTAGATCAGTGTTTGCTAATGGCCTATGGTAGGAAGAAGGGATTGATTGCACAGGGTTATGTGGGAATTTTGGGGGTTATGGAAATGTTTTGTATTATGAATGTGATCGTTGCTAGAAGACTATATATAGTTATCAAAACTCACTGAATTGTATACTTAAAATGGGGTGAATTTGACTGGATGTAACTTATACCTCAAAGTGAGCTAAAAAATATAAATGAGAGAAAGTCCCAGCCCTGAAAGAGTTCATAATCTAGATAGGTGGGTAGATAAGGAAACAAACAAATTATAAATCTGTGAAATCAAAGACATTTTACAGAATCAAACAAAATAATGTGGGAGCAAAAAAAGTGGCAATTAACCAACTGCCTTTGCCTTGTGGAGTCAAAGGCAATTCACTGAGAGATGATATTTAAACTGGTTCTCAAAAGATAAAACTACTAAGGTGCAAAACTACCTGGTATGTATAAGAAAGGGTGAAAATCTCAGTGTGTTAAGAACTTTGGATAAATAGTGTGAATGACTAGAAAATAAAAAGTATTTTACTAAGTTAGAGAAACTGGATTTTTCTGTAAGCTCTGAGAAGTCAAAACATTTTTTAATATGTTTTCTTTAAAATAAGATAAGTCTGGTAAACAGTGTGGGAGATAAATTTTTTTGTCAGGAGGCTAACTAGAGAAATGTTAACACTGATTCAATGGAAAAGTAAGATATAATTTAAGACAACAGGAAGAAGGAGGGAATGGACTAAAAGATATTTGAGGTCAAATTGAGGGAATCTGGTGACAAATTGTGGTACCAACTTAATAAGAAAGATCAGTGAAGAACAAGATGACAAAGTTTAGAATGTATATATGACTAAAACACAACTGTAATAGTTAAGAATGGCAAAATTCCAAGTATAAATGAATGCTTTCTCCCTTTAAAATAAGTTAAAACACACCTATTTAACATGTTTTAAGACTGTGCCAAAAGATATACAAGATATAAAATATATAAAAGAATTCCTGAATAAATGGGAAACATATATCAACAACTGATATAAAAATTAATGTTTTAAAGATACCAAAAATCCTTGACAATTAGGATTCTAAAACCTGTACACAAGAATAAAGGCAGTCACTTCCAAGACGGCTAAATAGGAACAGCTCTGGTCTGCAGCTCCCAGAGAGATCGATGCAGAAGATGGGTGATATCTGCATTTCAAACTGAGGTACATGGTTCATCTCATTGGGACTAGTTGGACAGTGGGTGCAGCCCACTGAGGGTGAGCAGAAGCAGAGCGGGGCATCGCCTCACCTGGGAAGTGCAAGGGGTCAGGGATTTCCCTTTCCTAGGCAAGGGAAGCTGTGACAGAGTGTACCTGGAGGAATGGTACACTACGCCCAAATAGTGCATTTTTCCCACAGTCTTCACAACTGGCAGACCGGGGTATTCCCTCCTGTGCCTGGCTCAGTGGGTCCCACGCCCACGGAGCCTTGTTCACTGCTAGAGCAGCAGTCTGAGATCGGCCTGCGAGACTGGAGCCTGGCAGGCGGACGGGCGTCCACCACTGCTGAGGCTTGAATAGCTAAACAAAGTGGCAGGGAAGCTCGAACTGGGCAGAACTCAGTGCAGCTCAGCAAGGCCTACAGCCTCTATAGACTCCACCTCTGTGGGCAGGGCATAGCTGAACAAAAGGCAGCAGAAACTTCTGCAGACTTAAAGGTCCCTGACTGACAGCTCTGAAGAAGGCAGTGGTTCCCCCAGCACGGCATTCAAGCTCTGAGAACAGAGAGACAGCCTTCTCAAGTTGGTCACTGAACCCCATGTAGCCTGACTGGGAGACACCTCCCAGTAGGGTCCGACAGACACCTCATACAGGTGGGTGCTCCTCTGGGACAAAGCTTCCAGAGGAAGGATCAGGCAGTAATATTTGCTGTTCTGCAATATTTGCTATTCTGCAGCCTCTGCTGGTGATACCCGGGCAAACAGTGTCTGGAGTGGACCTCTAGCAAATTCCAGCAAACATGCAGCTGAGGGGCCTGTTAGAAGGAAAACCAACAAACAGAAAGGAATGGCATCAACATCAACAAAAAAGGACATCTACACCAAAACCCCATCTGTAGGTCACCAACATCAAAGACTAAAAGTAGATAAAACCACAAAGATGGGGAGAAATCAGAGCAGAAAAGCTGAAAAATCAAAAAACTAGAGCACCTCTTATCCTCTAAAGGAACACAGCTCCTTGCCAGCAACAGAACAAAGCTGGATGGACAACGAGTTTCATGAGTTGACAGAAGTAGACTTCAGAAGGTCAGTAATAACAAACTTCTCCGAGCTTAAGGAGCATGTTCTAACCCATCGCAAGGAAGCTAAAAACCTTGAAAAAAGGTTAGATGAATGGCTAACTAGAATAAACAGTGTAGAGAAGACCTTAAATGACCTGATGGAGCTGAAAACCACAGCACAAGAGCTTCATGACACATGCACAAGCTTCAACAGCCGATTTGATGAAGTGGAAGAAAGGGTATCAGTGATTGAAGATTAAATTAATGAAATAAAGAGAGAAGACAAGATTAGAGAGAAAAGTGAAAAGAAACAAACAAAGCCTCCAAGAAATATGGGACTATGTGAAAAGACCAAATCTATGCTTCATTGGTGTACCTGAAAGTGACAGGGAGAATGGAACCAAGTTAGAAAACACTCTTCAGGATATTATTCAGAAGAACTTCCCCAACCTAGCAAGGCAAGCCAAAATTTAAATTCAGGAAATACAGAGACCACCACAAAGATACTCCTTGAGAAGAGCAACCCCAACACACATGATGTCAGATTTACCAAGGTTGAAATGAAGGGAAAAATGTTAAGGGCAGCCAGAGAGAAAGGTCGGGTTACCCACAAAGGGAAGCCTATCAGACTAACAGCTGATCTCTCTGCAGAAACCCTACAAGTCAGAGGAGAGTGGGGGCTAATATTCAACATTCTTAAAGAAAAGAACTTTCAACCCAGAATCTCATATCCAGCCAAACTAAGCTTCATAAGTGAAGAAGAAATAAAATCCTTTACAGACAAACAAATGCTGAGAGATTTTGTCACCACTAGGCCAGCCTTACAAGAGCTCCTGAAGGAAGCACTAAGCATGTAAAGGAAGAACTGGTACCAGCCACTGCAAAAACATGCCAAATTGTAAAGACCATCAACATTATGAAGAAACTGCATGAATTAATGGGCAAAATAACCAGCTAACATCATAGTGACAGGACCAAATTC